AGCAGGGGAGGGGGCGGAGACTTTGGGGAAGGGGCGGAGTTGGGGCGGGGCGGGGGCGGGGTGGGGGCAGGGCCCCGTGGAGTGTCCTCCATTTGGAGGCACAAAATATGGTAACCCTAAAACTGCTAAACCGAACATACAAAAGAATAACTTTGTTTTCCATCAACAAACCTATTTACTTCCTAGAAATATTCCAATTTGCTGACCTGAGTAATTTCAGCTCCAGTGAATCCAAGATAACTTTTCAAATATTTGGAAGCAGTTTCTGTAACTACCAATTAAGAGATAGAAGTCAGGCAGCATTAATATGGTGCTTGAACTAAAAAAGGAGATACCTGCTCGACTTTGACAAAAGCCTCTTCTAAAATTAATATTGCATGGTTAGTGCAGTACAGACAGCACAAACATAGGTAAGATGTGGTCTCTACTGGTGATGTGCATCAGAGAAAAGGTGGGTTTTCACATATGGTTGGAAGGAGAGGGAAACTTCCAAGTTACTGTTTCCCTCTCAGCAATAAGCTTATTCCGACAATTGCTTCTAAAGGACATTGTGATAAACAGACCATAATTCATATATCAGTTTATTTTACTTTTCTAAAACATTTTGGAATGGACAGAAATATTTTTCACTTAGTGGCATAGTGAATTGCTTCACATGCTGAACATAACCTATTTTACCAGCGTAACCATACAGCCAAGACAGTCATTTTGTTTATATTCTGGAAGCTTGCACTATTCTTCAAGTAGATGTTTGCATTGTATGTTATTTCTACAAAAGCTGATTATGAAAAAGGAGGAGAAAACCCCTTCATTTCAGATAAACTATTGGATGGGGGGGGAACCCCTTATGCTGAAAGTGTGAAGGATAATACCCTTTTGGCTAAGAATTGTGCCTTGCACTATACAAGAAATCTCACAAAACAGAAAATATAATTCAGCTCAGAAAGTTGAACTGAGCTTGTCACTTTCATAATTTCTCTTTCCTGCACTGAACAATGCTGCTGAAATTGTTTAAATTGGAGGGGGGGGAAGACATTTTTTAATATTGTGAAAATATTTCTATTACATCCTGGTTTTATAAAGAAGTTTTTTCTTACATAACCCAAATGGGGGATAAGCTATTTAAAGCTGCCTTTTTAATTGAAAAACAAGAAACTTAAAAGAAAAAGAAAAAGCAGTTTTGGTGAAATTTTTTTCAAATACATGAAATAGGCACAACCATGAGATATATTTTGTGGCTATCTTTTTTTTTCTCTTGAACTGTAGGTGTGGGATGTAGAGCTGGAGAGATCTGCAGAATCCTGGGCTGAAACTTGTCTGTGGGAACATGGACCTGCAAGCCTTCTTCCATCAATTGGGCAGAATTTGGGGGCACATTGGGGAAGGTAGTTTAAAATACCATTTTATCTCAAACAATTTTGAATCATAAGGAAATCTATTTCTTATTTAAAATCAGAGTGATGAAAGATACTTTTTTTTAGGGTTGTTCTATAGTGGTTATAATTTTATTAAACATTGTCATTTTTTTTATAGATACAGACCTCCAACATTTCATGTCCAAGCATGGTATGATGAAGTGAGAGACTTTACCTACCCTTATCCTCAGGAATGCAATCCCTATTGTCCTTACAGATGTTCTGGTCCTGTTTGCACTCATTATACACAGGTATGTGTGTTTGGTTTACCACAAAGTTATTCCTGTTTTTCAAAGTTGTAATCCCATGAGGCCTCAGGAGGACAGCATTAGGGAAATACCTGAAAGAAAATGTGGAAGCACCATGTTCCTATGATTCTTGGGAGCCAAAGTCTATAGTCCTTACTACCTTTTCACTCAGTTTCTACTCTTATCCATTCACATTGGGAAAGGACCTTAGAATTTAACTTATTGTTAAGTTTAAGGTAAGCCAAATATGTTCCACTGAAGGATGTTTGGGTCTACTGAATTCATCGCTGGCTGTAAATCCACACAATAGGTGGTATGGAGTGGGGTTGTGCTGCATATCTATTGACTTCCTGCAGCTTGGGGACATACGAGTGAGAGAGTGAGAATTCCACCTTCTCAACCTATGCGGGGATTCCTTACAAAGCCCAGTTCTCAAGGATAATGGGGGTGCGGTTGTGTGAATTTCATCCACTACTTGCAAAATCCTCTTCTCAAGTCCACTTTGCAGATTGCAGATTCTTCACTTAGCTAGTTGACAGCAAAGGAAGTTTCATGTGCAGATACGCAGTAGAGATTTATAGTGCAGAAAAGAAAGAAGAGATTTGTCCTATGAATAATCAGGAACAAACATCATATAGGAAATAAACCACCTTTTATATAATAATAAAGAATTATAGCAATGGACTTATGTTACTGCTATTGTAGCAATATTTTGAAGTGGCATAGGATCTTCTGTTTTCTGTATGGGTCCTGTCAGCACCTTGACTATCATGTGGGCTGGGTGGGGTGAACTCTTTCTGAGAAGTTCCCACCATATTGCCTTGGCATTGACAGACAACTTCAGGCACAAACCACTGCAGCCATGTATCAGTAAAAGTAGTATTTAACTTGAAGCCTAAGCATAGTGGTGTTAAAAATGGATAAATAAAAAGATTTGAAAAGTACCAGATTGCACAGAAATAACCAAACAGGATAACAAAAAATTGTTAAAATTATACTTAGTCACTACACTGTCCCAAATAACTCCTCCTATCTAGGACATGTTTTTCAGTTCGCAAAGTCTCCTTTGCCTGAATGTTTCTCCAATGCTGTGTATTGTATGCTTCTAAGTCGGGGGTGGGCAAACTTTTTGGCCTGAGGGCATCGGGTTTCATAAATTGTATGGAGGGCTGGTTAGGAGAGGGGGTTGTGGCCCGGACCCCACCTCCTATCTGCCCCCCTGGGACTCCTGCCCCATCCAACACCCCCATCCCCTGACTGCCCCCAGACTTCTGCCTCCCCATCCAACCCCTCCTCTCATTCCTGATGGCCCTCCTGGGACCCCTGCCCCATCCAACCACCCCTTCTCCCTGTTCCCTGACTGCCCCTGGAACCCCTGCCCCTCACTGCCCCCCACCCCTCCATCCAACCCCCCTCTCCTTCCTGACTGCCCCCCGAGACCTCTGCCCCCATTCAACCCCCTGTTCCCCCCGACCGCCCCACCCCCTATTCACACTCCTGCCCCCTGACCACCACCCCGAACTCCCCTGCCACCTATCCAACCCCCCTCCCCTGTTCTCTGCCCCCTTACCGTGTTGCATGGAGCACTGGTGGCTGGTGGCGTGGCCGGCTCGAGCCAGGCCACGCTGCCGCCGCCACTGCCACCATGCAGCACAGAGACCGGGCCAGGCCGGGCTCTGCAGCTGTGCTGCTCCAGGAGCTCACAGCACCGCTGCCCAGAGCATTGCACCAGCAGTGGAGCAAGCGAGCTGAAGCTGTGGGGGGACAGCAGGGGAGGGGCCAGGGTGAGTCTCCTGGGAGCTCGGGGGCTGGGCAGGACGGTCCCACGGGCCACAGTTTTCCCCACCCTTGTTCTAAGTCCTGACCTAGGAATTTCTCTGTTATTTGGCAATGAAAACAAAAAAGTATTGCTAACTTCTACCAAAGTCTAATATGTCCAATTCTGATTTTTTTCCCCTTAAGTACAACCAAATCATATTTCCAGCTAGAGCAAAATAAATGATCCTCACATTGGACCAATGTGCACACACAATTTTAGACTGATTTCTAGAAGCCTTGAAAATTATTTCTTACCTGAAGTTATGCCCACACGGTAAAGGACATTTGTACAGAAGGCTTACTGTCAATTTTTTTGCTAGTAGTAATTTGCATAAGTCCATTTTACCTAATATTAAGACATGTTTCCTACTAAAGTTCTTTTAGAAACTTCCATAGATTACCCTTCTCCATTATAGGCAGGATCCCCACCACATGGGTATTCTTAGGCTGTATCTACACAGTGAGCCCCTGATGGTAGGGTGTAGAGTGTATGTGTAGCTACACACCACAATGAAAAATGGGCTGTGTCCACCCTAGTGTGTAGCTACACATGTCAGAGAGAGGCTCAGGTGTGGGAGGCATAGAGGAAAGATTCTGGCAGTTCCCTGCTGCTGAAACCTTTTATTGCAACAAAGATAAGAGCCTATCCTGGCAGTGGGAAGCCTCCAGAGCTTTCCCTGCTGCTGGACTCTTTCTCTGCGTTGGGAAAAGGCTCTGGCACTTTCTGCAGTGGAGAAAGGCTCCAGGGAGCTGCTGGGGTCTTTCATAGAATAGGGTTGGAAGGGACCTCAGGAGGTCATCTAGTTCACCCCCCTGCTCAAAGCAGGACCAATCCCCAGACAGATTTTCACCCCAGATCCCTAAATGGCCCCCTCAAGGATTGAACAGTAAACCTTGGGTTTACTAGGCCAATGCTCAAACCACTGAGCTATCTGGTCTCCCCTCCCCTCCTCCCTTTTTTTTTAATTAAACTGAAGAACTGCTGCAGTGAACCTAGGTGCTGTAATTATATGAAGATATACCTAGCTCATAGAACTGGAAGGGACCTTGAAGGTCATCGAGACCAGTCCCCTGCCTTCACAGCATGTCTAGGATCTTGCCAGGATCTGTCCCTGTGGTGGGGAAAGACTTCCACATCAGGGTGGCAGCGGGACACCATCCTGCTAAAAATAGCAATGTAGATGGGAGAGGTGCTGCTTGGGCATGTAGAAAGCCATGTAAGTTATACACTCACAGCATTCAGGCATGTCTTTAGTCACTTTAGCAATGCCTCACTGTCTACACTGCTATTTATACTTGTCTGTGTGTGTGTGTGTGGGTGGGGGGGAAATGTAGTGTAGGTACTCTATACTCCAGTGAAAGGAGTGTGCAGTGTAGACATACCTTTAATGTGCTGGTGGTTCTGCACAGAATCAATCTGAGCCTTTAGGCTGGGATGGTGCAAGAGCCTAAGGGAATGAGATTTGCACTGCACCTAACTCCCTTCAGCACTTTTGAAAATCCCAGCCTTAGTCTTTCAGAATCTTTTAAAAATTCTGTAATGAGAGTTGTTTCAACAGCTGAATGAAGGAAATACAACTTTCCTTTCAACTGCAATGACATGAATTCCCTAATTGTTTAAAATCTGTGGTCTGTAGTAGACATGAGTATTTTCAGTGAATGAAGCCTTTTGTTAATAGTTTAATTACTTGTGTTAATTGCTAGCAATTATTGGGTATTGTCTGTCTACCTACCTAATTCTGAATTTCTTCTGTGTTCTTAGATTGTGTTCATAACTGTGATATGTAAGAGCCCAACTTCTCACAAGTATCAGAGGGGTAGCCGTGTTAGTCTGGATCTGTAAAAAGCAACAATCACAGTTTAGGGTTTTTTTTGTAAAACCTTTATGCATCAGCATAAAATTGTTCCTTATAACAAGGGATATAACTGAATGGCCATATCATCAGCTGGTGAAAATCAGCATTACTCAGTTGATGTCATTGGAACAACACAGATTCATACTAGCCAAAGTTCTGACCAGCAGCAACCAATATACATGACCCTTGGTACTGAATGTTCAAAAATTAAATAATAGTTGAATTCCATGCATGAGTGTTTCCCCTATCCAAAAGTATGTGTGTGAGAGTATGAGAGAGACCGAAACATTGCTGCTTTTTTGTGATTTGATTTTTATAATTCAGTGTTTCATAGATATGTTTGTTTTGTGTTAATCACTCATTTAATTTTCACATGTATTCTTGTTTCCTGTCATCTAGGTGGTATGGGCGACAAGTAGCAGGATAGGTTGTGCTATTAACTTGTGTCATAATATGAACATCTGGGGACAGATCTGGCCAAAAGCAGTCTATTTAGTGTGCAATTATTCTCCCAAGTAAGTATATACAGTAGGCTAACACTTTCTGTAAAATTTATCTTGAAAGGGGAAAATACTTCATAATCCAGGAGATAATCCCACAGAAAATCAAGCTAAATTTTCTATTTCTGTACAGCCACAAAAAGATACTTTGTTTCTAATGAAGCCGTAACTGAATGAAGCAAAAACAGGCTGTTTGTTTTCTGGCCTTTCTTTTAGTGCTCTGGGGTTAGAGACCTTTATTTTCCAGACAAAATGATACATCAGACCACAATAAAGCTATCTCCCCATTGTTATTTTAGCAGATTTATAACATTAGCAAAATAAACAATAGATTCCTCATTTAGAGAGCCTACCATGCCTAGGGTAAAATTGTGCCTTCAGGTGACTGAAGTCCAGGACAGCAGGAGTCCCATTCAGTTCTTGTGGAGGAATTTAGCTTAGGTGGCATACTAGTAACAGGGTCTCACCTGATCCAACACTGGATCATGCTACTGCCTCAATTTCCCCTTCATGAGTGTCTCAGTGACTGAACCCAGACTCTTGTAAGTCAAACACCCCTTTTGGGGGCCTGGTTTATTATAACAACATCACAGTTCAAATGTCAACATAAATAGAAACCGGTTTTTCCTCATTTTGTTTGACCACATATTTAAATGATGTTAATATTAACGATGAATGCATTTATGCATATTTTTTTAATTAGCATTTTTATTTTTAAGGGGCAACTGGTGGGGTCATGCTCCTTACAAACATGGCCGCCCTTGTTCTGCATGTCCACCTAGTTTTGGAGGAGGCTGCAGAGAAAATCTTTGCTACAGGGGTATGTACCATTTCAACAAATGCAGCTGCAATTGGATTTTGTGGTTGGATACCGTAAATGTAACATTTTTGTTTACTCTCTTTATTATGCTCTAAGACAGTGGAGTATACTATAGTATAATTTTGCTCAGGCAACTATTAAAGGCCTGATGTTGTGACAGTCTGGACCCTTTTTATGAAGAGTTATGTGTGCTGAGTTCCCACTGACTTCAGTGGTGGTTGAAGGTGTAGAATGCAGCTGCATACTGTTTACATCACTTACTGATGAGTAAGGCTAAGATTTTTTTTCATGGTTATTTTTAGTAAAAGTCATGAACAGGTCATTACTTTACTACAAATTAGTTGCTATCTGGTCACCCTAAGAAAAACCAGGACAGGGAGTGGGGGGTAAGAGGCACCTATATAAGAAAAAGTCACCAAAACCGGGACTGTCCCTATAAAAACAGGACATCTGGTCACCCTACTACAAATAACCAGGGGCAGGGCTAGGAAGGCAGGGAGGAATGGAGTCCCATGGGGCGAGGAGGGGACGACTGACAGGCTGAGCCCCCCACCAGGGCAGGGGGCACAGCCCTGACTCCAGTGGCCGCAGCGGGGGTACAGCCATGCACACAGCCCCTGCTCTACAACTGGCCCAGGTGCGGGACAGGGGTGCACAGCCCTCAGTGCAGTTCCTGCCAAGCCCTGTCTCTAGGTGGGGGGGGGGGGGGGCCACAGGGAAGCTGCAAGAGGGGTGCACGGCCCCCAGCTGCAGGTGCTGGGAAGCCACGGGGCTGGGGCGCACAGCCCTGGCTGCAGTCCCGCCAAGCCCGGGACAGCACAGGCCTGGGGTGCACGGCCCCAGCTGCAACCCCCCAGAGGAAGCAGCGCGGCTGGGGCTGCAGGGTCCTGGCTCCAGCCAGCCCCAGTTACAGGGCAGGGGCTCACAGTCCTGCTTCCTCCTCCTGAAGACCTAGAAGTCATGGAGGTCCAGAAAGTCACGGAATCTGTGACTGCTGTGACCTCAGTGATTAAATCGTAGCCTTACTGATGAGTCACTGAAAAGTCTATGTAATAATTTATTTAACTGGAAATTCCTGCTATCTCAGCAAAATACCAAAGGGGATTCTATAAAGGAAAAAAAAACAGTGTCAGCAAAAAGAACATATTCATTCCAGTAAAATGCCAGCTTGCATCATTATTATCTTCTGTATTTTTCAAAATTGTATTAATTACATTTTGTAACATTAGAATGAAGCATATTTTGGGGCTTATATTTCTTTTTTTTTTTATATGAGTGACTTTGAAAATTACTTACATTAATACTTTTGAAAAGTAAGATTACTGAATACAGTTCTTCAGCTGTTCAACTGGGTCACAGTTGAGTGCCTAAATCTAGGTACCTAAATAAGGGACTTACGCTCAGATGTGAACACCTCTGAAAATTAGGATCCTTATTAACTTACCTAGAAAAGGGCCTAATTTCAGGTGGACATAGATTTAGAAGCCCAATTTCTTTAATTATAGCAAGCTGCACTTAAAAGGTTGGTTAGGTAGCATCATGTGAAGAAATACCACTATTGGTCTATGGATTCCCTCATGACAGAGGGAAGTTACCGCAATAGAAATATTGCCAGCACGTTCACACTTAAAACTATGCTGTCAGTGCTACAAAGTGAGCAAGACATCCATGTAAGACACCAGTAAAGTATATGGTGTATGTTACCAAACATCAGCTATTCATCTAGCTGATGAATCCCATGAGTCAATGGAAGGATCAAATTTTTCATTTTATTCATCTCTTTTTAAACCGTTCCATGAAAACAAAATATTAAAAGCATGAATATTCACAAAAGTTGCCACATTTATGTCAGTGCCGTTTACAAAAACGGACTAAAAGCTGTTCTGAGAAATTATTTGTCTCATTCATTCACTAAAACAGAGGGTTCAGACAGGCATTACTCCCCTCATGAGCCAGAGGAGGAAACCAACGAGATTGAACGGCAGCAATCCAAAGCACAGGATAGAACATCACAGAGTCGATCCAGGACCCATTCACCTGCAGGCTCTACAAGGAGCGATGATAGTGAGAGAAATGAAGTAATAAGCACACAACAAATGTGTAAGGAGTTTGCATTTTTTTTCATATGCCAACTAATTTGAACCAAGTGGTACAAAAAGCATTCTAAAACATTTTAATGAAACTGGCTTTTTGTTATTTAGCTCAGATTGTTTCTTGTGAAGTAAGGCTAAGAGACCAGTGCAAAGGGACAACTTGCAATAGGTATGATACATTCTACAGTTTGCCTGTCTGAGATTATTCTAAACAGTTGTGTGTATGTTAACTAAAATATTTTCCCTGTTGCAATCATAGGATCTGAAACCAATTTGTATTTTAAATCTTTAGGTATGAATGTCCTGCTGGCTGCTTGGATAGTAAGGGCAAAGTGATTGGAAGTGTTCATTATGAAATGGTAAATATATATATATTTTTTTTTAAATTGAGTTTAGTATAGATATAATTAATGAAATTCTGTCTTTTTAATTTGGAATATTAGCTAAAATGTGTTATCAGCAAGAATGCATTCCGAAGAAGTCTATGCTCAGAAAAGTAAAAAGCCTACTGCAAATTAAGGTAGCCTCAGCCTGGTCTAGATTTGTTCCTGCACTTCTGAACATGTAATTTTTGGGTATATAATACCTCACATTTTTCCACATAAGCAGGATTTGCGTGTGCAGATCATTTAGACAGCTATAAATCTGTACAAATGCTGTTTACGATTTTGTGGGTGTATATTTATAGGCTGCTTTTGGGAATATGGGTCTAGATGTATAAATTTAATCCTTCGTTTTAAATATCTGGTCCTTCAGCTTTATTCTGTTGCATATCATTGTGGGGCACTAAAACAAAAGGGAGGAAACAATAGACAGTATGAAAACATACGCTTTCATTCTGAGTTATAGGAAAATGACATTTTCTTCATGTGGGGTGGTGGCTGTCCCAACTACATTAAGCTCAATAGGAATGTCTGTGGAGGCTTCAGCCCCAGCCGGTAATGCTACCTATGCTAAGTTTGGTAAGGGCTGGATTCAGGACCATGCTCCTACCGCTTTGCCTCGCTTTGAGGGCACAAGCAGCCAAAAAGTGGTTTCACTGGCTACCTCTGTGTAGGGGAATCCCCAAGTGGTGAAGGCCTCATGTAGTGACTCACCACTCACCCTCCCAGTCCCCAGAGGGTGTGGGCAGGAAAAAAATGGTAGATTTGCTACTATATGTGACTGATCCCTGGCTTTTGGAATAGCTTGATGGGCATGAGGACTGCAAGGCATAAGATTGAGTAGCTTTAACAAATGCAAATATTGGATATTGGACACAGTTGTAATGAAGAACTGCCTTTTCACATTTAAAATATAATGGAAAATAATTGTTTCACCTGATGTGGAAATGATTTTCTTGCTCTATTTTTTAGCAATCCAGCATTTGTAGAGCTGCCATACATTATGGTATTCTAGACAACGATGGTGGTTGGGTTGATATCACTAGGCAAGGAAGGAAAAACTATTTCATCAAATCTTATAGAAATGGCATTCAGTCAATTGGGTAAGTCCAAGATTACTTTGAGTGCTTACAACTAAAATGTGTGATGTTTCCAATATATTGCATTTTTTTTCACCTGAAATAAGTCACAATAATAGTTTTCCCATATACTTTTTTTCATCCTGAAGGATCTGAAAGCATCGTAAAAATGACACATTCTGGAATGCAGGTATCATTCTGAAAGTGTAGCCATTCTTAAGAGCATACTGCAAAATGACAAAACAGCTATGGGCTAGGAAGTGACAAAAATGCTATATCAAATAGAAGAGGCAAGGAAAATATATAATGGTTGCCCTTGGCAATTATGTCAGATAGTCAGACCTGAAGAAGAGCTCTGTGTAAACTAAAGCTTGTCTCTCTTACCAACAGAAGTTGGCCCAATAAAAGATATTAACTCACCCCCTCCCTCTTGTCTCTCAAATAGCTAAATTAATATTTATGATTAAATTACCTCAATATTTGCAGCATTCATCTATTTCTGATACAAATGTAAAGATGTACCTACAAAGGAACAGTGCATACTGAAACTGAGTTAAGGCAGGTCTATGCTACAGCTGGGATTGACGTTCTGAGATTGATCCATCGGCGGTCGATTTAGCAGGTCTAGTAAAGACCGACCAAATCGACTGCAGATCGCTCTCCAGTCAACCCCTGTACTCTACCCCTGAAGAGAAGAGTAAGGTAAATCAACGGGAGATGCAGACCCCGCAGTAACTTGACCTAGGTAGGTTGACTCCAGCTACGTTATTCACGTAGCTGGAGTTGCGTAGCATAGGTTGACTTATCGCAGTAGTGTAGACATAGCCTGAGTTAAAATGATCTGCTCATCCTGTGTAACACTGGTACTGTAATGCTTTTTTAAGGACTAACCATGGCAGTGCTGCCTAATTTTAGGAGATTAATAATATTGTTTATACAATATGGGTTACAGGCTCACCAAATAATCTGATCAGAAGATAATAAGGTTCTTGTCCCTGAATCAGGCTACACAGAGTTTGCAAGGACCCTCGGGATGTATGACAAGGACACTCATACTGAGAACAAAATGCAGCCTTAAAGACTTTTATTGAGATAAAAGTAATCAAATAGAAATCAAATGGAAAATCATCAGAATTACAAAGGCAATAATATTGTTTTAGAGGTACATGTGATATATACTGGAAAGGTTTCTAGATTAGCATACTCACACCTTTCCTTGATAACCTGGTGGAAAGAGACAAAGGACCAGCCTTGCCTCTTGCATGCTAAGAGAGTCCAATGGTTCAGGTTCCTCAGTTCTCAAATGGGTGGTGAATAACTTAGGAGAAGCTAGAGCTAAAAAGCTATAGAAAGACTATAGAAGCTAACTTAGAGTTTGACTCCACTGAGTAACTTGAGAACTAAGAATTAAGAACTAACAATTAGGAATTAAGAAACAACTACAAACTAATGAACTAACTGAACAATGATGAACTGCCCTTTAATATAGTGGGTTACCCTTCATATAGAACCTGAGCACTATGTGTCCTCCTTCCATGTCCAAACTGAATTTCCTCACCCACAAAGTATCAGGGTACATGTACTCTATAGGCTGGCATGTTTGAACATATTAATGACATATTCATACCTATTAATGACCATTCACTCATTCTCACATCTGTTATTTCTGGCTGAACCGGTTATTTCCATGTTCTTTGGGTTGTACCTGCAAAGTTTAAAGAGGGTATGAACTTAGGTAGCCCCTACCTATACCAACTTGATTGAGCAACTTCACTTATCTATGTTAAAGGTCACAAATATATATATCTCCTTTCTGCTTTAGCTCATCATCACCTATCTAGGCTAAAGGTCTCGAACATATGGATGCTAACTTGCCTTAACTCAACATACAGGATGTGGCCTGTAGTTTCTTTGAGTTATGGCCAAAAATACTCTAGTACAAATCTGTAAACCTATTATAATAAAACAAATAATCAAACCCATAAGAAAAGCTATATAAGCAAGCAAACAGGCTAGCCCTGTAGGGCTACAGTAGGCAGAATATTCTATAATAATTAGCTAAACTGGAATTTTCCCAGGATACTGGAGCACATCCCTCTCTGCTGTTCTGAAGAGTGCTATGGGATCTTTAATAACCATAAGAAATTGTATTTAGAAGTGAATCACTCCTACTACGTGCTCACATAAAACACGAAAGTACAGCTATTTAAGTAAATGTTTAACAGTTTCCTTACAAGGCTAAGTATCTGTATGTGAAACTTCAGACAAATTTATAATTCTGTACTTGGCACAACCTTTTACATTTGCTAGTGATGGGATAACTTAAAACACTCTGGAGGTCTGATTCAGAAATGTGTGGCAAAGTTTGGATCCTTATCTGGAGACTTGTTGGAGTGATTGTACAGGAAAGCAGGTCCAACTACTTCTCAACTTGTAAAAGAAAACAAAAAATGTGGTGGGTGGGAATGGAGGATATAGTCTGCCAGGGTTCAACTATGGCGCAGCATCAGTACTAACTCTTTAGAATACTAAGAGGTTAATGTTACTTCAGTGTTAATATTAACAAAGTAGGGTTCACCCTAGCATATTATGATGAATTGTCAGTTGCTGTTTTTGTTCATGTCTATCTTATATAAACCGGGATGTGGAGTGGATGGAGCCTGGCCTCTGACCCCACAACAGGCCAGTGAGGTGCACACAGGCTGGTACAGCTGAACTAGCACAGAGGAGAAATCCCAGTTTACTTTCCACTTAATACAAGGAGAAGCAGGGGCAAGACTGGGTCTGAGTTCTCGTCCTGCTCTAATGTGCTGCTCCTTACTCAGGCTGGATTGCCACATGCAAATCTAGTTGTTTGTTTCTCTATGATGCAAACCTGAAAGAAGATGAAACAGCATGTGATTAGCCAGAAGACATTACTTGCAGTGTGAATATTTGTAATACTGACCTCGCTCCCAATACTGGTATTTTTAACCATAGAAGATATCGAAAAGAAAATCCTGCAAACCATGACTGACTTTATATAGCATGTGGGAATGTAATCTAATACTACTTTTACTACCTTGGTAAGGGAAAATGCAATAATGTCCAGCTATTCACATGCTTCTGTGTGTATAGAATAGTGTGCAGTATTGAAAAGTCCAGAGCAGGGTTACAGTGCTAAACTAGGGATTGGACAGAATGTCATGTGAGGAAAGGTTTCCTGAGGTAAGGCCCGTTTGTCTGGCTCACTCTGTAGTTTGCATCAGCCATGCAGCATAAAGAGGACAGAAACTGGCTTCGTCTTCACAGGTGGAGATTATCCCAGTATGGAGGAACCTCCAGCAAGCATACAGCCAACATAGCTGACTGTTACCCAATTTTCCTTCAGCCCTTGATGTGCAGGGTGGGAGCATGGTTAGAATGCACTTTGCCCAGTCAGTCTCCAACTGGCAGAAGTCCCCTTGCATGCCCTAGCCAGATGGTATAGATTAGAGCAGACTCCAGGTCTATCTAATCTATGTCGGGGCAGGGGCCATGGTAGAGACAGCCATAGGAGCTATGAACAGCCCCTTGTTGCTCTCTCTGCTGTGCCCAGTGGTGATCAAGCTAGCATGCCAAAAATAGAAGTGTAGCTGTGGCAGCAGGAGGGGCTAGCTGCCCCAAGTCTGTACTTAGGGTCTTGGACAGGACCATACTTAGGGCAGGCAGCCCCTTCTGCCACTTCCACCACTACAGCTACACTTCTATTTTTAGTGCTCTAACTCAATCAAAGCACCAGTATGTCTACTCAAGCTGAAAATTATACCTTCCAGCTTGAATGTCGACACATCCTGAGTGTGTTAGATGGTCAAGATGAAGCTAGACTTGAAATCAGACTAAATTTTTCCATTTTTTCCTTCTATTGGGGTTCACCTTGACGAGCTAGCACATGTTAAAATACAACTTGCCCTGTCTATGCCACCACCTTTATCCTAGTCTAGGTGTACCCTAAGGGAGCAAGGATCCAAACTATTTATATAATAGGTTAAAACCAACATCTTGTATTGCAACTGGAGGCAAATTGGAAGACGGTGGTGACTTTAGAGCACATGTGCAATTACCATCCAATAGGAATAAATAAATTAAATAAGCAGGCAAACCATTCCAAGTACAGGCTGTAGCCCAACAAAAACACATCACAGTAATCCATTCTGGAGATGACTAAGGATTCATCTCCTCCTTTAGTAATTAAACTTACCAAAGTCAAACAAGGTCATTTACTTCTTGGTTAAGGGTGTTGTAAAAAACCCAAAGATTTTAGGACTAGTAGCAGATCCCTTGAGATGAAGAAGTAATGAAGGAAAGTACTGACCAGTTATTAGATAAAAGTTCAGAGACAGGAAAAGGAATTTACATTTCTGATGACCATGTAATTATTAATAAAAAGAAAATTGGTATCCTTTTTGCTGCCCTGATGATACCAGTAACAAACTGAATGTAAAAGCAGAAATGAATCTGAAAAACCATGTTCCAGATTCTGACACTGGTTTTGACTGAACGGCATCCTGTGCCTGCATGATGCTAATGCTGTGGTTAGGTCCTTAATGAGGAAACAGTCAATGGATGCTTCTGCTGATTGGCACTTCTGACTAAAACAGAATCACGGAACCCGATTACATTAGCTGTTATTGTACTGTCAAATGAAGTCATTGACAATGTAGGAAATTCAGAGCTTAACACATCTTTGTGCTAATCATTGATTTCATACTGAATTTCACTGTGAATGTAAACTAAATGTAGTAATTGTAGTGAACATGCAGGGATTCCATACTTGGGGTCTAAACTAGTGGATTCCAATGAAGCATAATCATTGTTGGGCCTATGTCTGGAAATCAATTAAATACATTGTTTGATTGTTGACTTTTTCTTTTATTTCTTCTTTCTGTTAGCAAATATCAGTCTGCTAATTCCTTCACAGTCTCCAAAGTAACAGGTTAGCATTTATTTATATATTATCTTCATCATACATTGGACTGTATTTTGACTGCATATATCTATTAGTTTGTGTTTTATTTCTTCAGTTCAAGCGATCACCTGTGAAACAACAGTGGAACAGCTATGCCCATTTCAAAAACCAGCCTCACATTGCCCCAGGTAAAAGTCTTGAATCTTTCTGTCATATCAAAGCACAAAGAAATAGTCTTTTTTGTCAAAGGTGTTGAGCACCCACTATCGTTACCGATGTTAGTGGGAGCTATTGGTACTCAGCACCTTTGAAAATCTGGCCACAAATGTTTTGCTTGTCTTTCAGTCTCTGGTTTAAGAACACTGTCAGCTAGTAAATACATTCTGAGGAGAGGAGGATCTGTATACTTTTATTTATTTTAAATAAAGGGTCTTTTACACTTTCTATAGCACATGAGTCTTTTTGCACTTTTGAGAAGTGTGGCCTAGTGGTATTCCATTCTATATTACGGACTTGCAGTGTGCCTTGGGCAATGGACTTCTGAGCCTCAGTTTACTCCTCTGTAAATAGATATCATGAAAGGGTCTGACACAGCCCTGTGTCTTAGGTGTTGTTTGTTTGGTTGGGGTTTTTTGGAGAATAGTAGGTCAGGAAAATATTTATGTTTACAAAGAAATATTAATAGATTGGTAAAGTAGCCCATGGTGAGAATCCTTTTTATAAGACAATTTATAGCTTTCAGCAAAATGTGTGAGCTGTATATTTGAACTGTGTATTTGAAATCAACATTTTCACTCTTTGAAAGAAGACTGTGCCTCAGTAGTTTGAGGAAGGAAACCTGTAACAGTTCTTAAAACTGTAGATGAGTCAGAGGTAAATACAGTGTAGCATGATTTACCTGAGATTGGAGATAGCCACAAGAGTAGTTTTATAGCTGTCCTACAGTCAATAGAGGAAGCAAACACAAAGCCAGAACTGCTAAGAAAACATCCCCTAATGTAGCATTTGGGACCTTGGACTCATGTGGTGTTTGGCTATAGCTGCATAGTCTTGCTGGATAAGGTGTAGAAATAAGTAAATGAATGAAATGCAGGAATGGATGGCGCAAATCCCATCCTTATACCCATCTTTCTTCTCTCTTGTTACTACACAATATAATACATTCTGAAATGAAAAAATAGAAGCCATTTTTAGGAAAACATTTAAAAATAAAATCCTGAAGTCAAAGAGTGACAAAGAGATCAGTTTTAAAAACTCCAAAGCAAAGTCCGATCCAATACTGTCTGGGTGCCCTGGACACACATCTAAAAAACACAACCCAGCAAGTTACAAGCAGCAATAAATTGTGGCAACAGCACTTCTCCTCCACGGTCTCCCAACCACGCTTCCTATACTAATCACAGGTGACACAGGCATTAATCACAATGGCAAGGTCTGCCTTCAAGAGGAGAGGCTGTAGCAGAATGGCCAGGCACAGATTGGAGAAAGGTAGTCTTGGTCAGTGTTCCTAGTTGATCATCCAGAAGCAGCTGGGAGTCTAACCACAACCCCAAATCACAACCTTTGGTCACAGATGTTGGAGGAACTGATATAACTTCCAGCTTTTGTGCTTCCTTCCTCCAACCCCCACATCACCTCCATATTCTCATGACAAAGTTTCATCCAGCTCACTCTTACCCATGCCCCAGAGGTGCCTAGACACTGGGAAAGGCATTTGTTTGTTCTGTCTGGATTGGATGCAGTAGAGATGGCTGTCATCAGCACAGTGAAAATAATTTAGCCGGTGTTTTTTTTAACCCACTTTCCTAATGGTCTTGCACGCGCATTGAATAATAAGAGGGAACCAAGCAGATCCTTGTGGCACTCCAAATAGATATCATAAAGGGGTCTGACACAACTCTGTGTTGTTTCACTGGGGAGGTCTGGGGTTGGAGGATAGTAGGTCAGGGAAATATTTGTTTACAAAGAAATATTAATAGATTGGTAAAGTAGGGCATGGTGAGTATCTTGTTTATAAGTCAATTTATAGCTTTCAGCAAAATGTGTAAGCTGTTTCTTTGAAGCCAACATTTTCACTCATCAAAAGAAGCTTATGTCTCAATATTTTGAGGAAGGAAACCTGTAACGGTTCCTCAGGGCAGAGGCAGTAGTTGCCCAGCATTGCCCTTTGGGTGTTCTTTGTCAGAAAAGCCCAGAGCTACTGAAGTCCTCCACCACCCACTCTTGCCAGGGACCAGAAGTGCATCAATAACGCCTATTAGTCCATAGCATCAATGCTAGCTGATAGATCTAATATCATCAGTATGGATACCTTATCTTTATCCATCACTGAATTCATTGATTGTCAAATCTTGAAGCCCAGTTTAATGAAATAACATGTGGTATTGTAATATTGTAGTTACATTCTTAAAATGTATGTTTGTGTTCAATTTTCAGAGTGTATTGTCCTCGCAACTGTATGCAGGCAAACCCACACTATGCTCGTGTAATTGGAACTCAAATTTATTCTGATGTAAGTAGCATGATTTATTCAAGCATATTCATAAATGTGGATGATGAAACAATGGAATATACAATGAGAGGATATTGTATAGTGGACAGTTCAGGCCTGATCCTATGTACCTCATGCACTCAAAGACCGAAGTTTTCAAACTTGGATGCCTAATGTTAGGCATGTTTACTGGCCTGATTTGAGCACACACAGCTCCCACAGAATTCAGTGGTACTCAGCTCCTCTAAAAATCAGTGCCTTGCATGGTGTCAAGTATCAGGGGGTAGCCGTGTTAGTCTGTATTTACAAAAACAACAAGGGTCTGGTGGCACCTTAAAGACTAACAGATTTATTTGGGCATAAGCTTTCGTGAGTAAAAACCTCACTTCTTCGGATGCATCCAGGTGCCACCAGACTCCTTTAAGGTGCTTTAAGGTGCCACCAGACTCCTTGTTGTTTTTCTAAAAATCAGGACAGTTACTTGGTGCCTAAGTACAGATTTACATGCCTTACTATAGGCACCCAAACTTGAAAATTTTGGTCAAAATTGCCACTGACTTGTATGACATGAGCAATGAATGAAGGGTTAGACCCTTAATGACCCTTTCCAGATACAAACATATTTTCTAGACTCCAGTGAAACAAAATACCATGTTATTCTAAAAATAAATATACATAATCCAATTATTTTGGACATATCTCAGTTATGTACAGTCACATATTTGTAGCAGTCTTCAAAATTATAAATAAGACTTTCTGATGGAAAGCAAAAGAATACCATAAAGCTATTTTTGGAAATCTGAAACTGAAATCTATTTCTCTGTCATCTCTTTTTCTCCAGTGGGAGTACAGTACCCATTCATTGTTATTGGAGAATGGCCCCTGAATACTGAGATGCTGACAGTTATTCATGTTTAATTCTTTTTAAAGAATGTTTGAAGCATGTTTTCAAACATACAGCATGAAAGTCATCCCCTAGCTCCCCCCCACTCTCTCTCTCTCTCTCTCTCTCTCT